CTTTTCGAATTCTTCTAAATGGTTTACTCCGGGAATATCAAATTTCGAATTTGTAATATACCTTGCGGTATAGAACAGATGTTCTTCTGGCATTTTTATAAAAAGAAACTTCCATTTCAATCCTGTGTATCTCACTTTCCAATAACCCAGGAATAGAGACTATGGTCCGATTGAATGAAGTTGTTGATTGACAGTTGCGAGTGGAAAGGAGCGACGTTGGCAGATTGCGTACCTCTGAGCTCGTGTTCCCGAAAATAAACACTTGAAACAAATACTTAAAAAAGAAAGAGAATAATAAACTCATATTGTATGAATCAACAGCTTCAGAAGCACGACTGTCAATTACCAACTTATTTTAATAGGACTATAGTGTGTTTAATATGTGTTGATGCACGTCAGTCGTCGGCTAATTCGTGAAGGCAGCGATGAGAAAGAAATGGATTCTCCTGGAGAGGCGTCGGAGGCGCGAAGCAGTGGGAAGGGGAAGGTAGAGGGAGGGGAGGGGAGGGTGGAGGGGGGCGTAGTTCCGGCGGAGGTGGCGAGCGGTGGGAAGCCCGGCGGCTGCGGGAGCACGCGCGTCCGCCGCCTCCTGTCGCAACGCACCTCGCGCGCATGCCACGGCCAACGCGCACTCGCGCCAACACCCACCCTCTCGGCATCTACTGCCCTCTGCGCGCTCTCGCCCTCTCGCCCGCCCTCTCGCCCGCCCTCTCGCCCGCCCTCTCGCCCGACCTCTCGCCCGACCTCTCGCCCGACCTCTCGCCCGACCTCTCGCCCGACCTCTCGTCCGCCGTCTCACTTGCCTTCTTGCCAGCCCTCTCGTCCGCTCGTTCGTCCGCCCCGTCGCTCGCCCTTTCGCCCGCCACAGATGTTTTGCATGAATTTAATTTATCGGTTCCAATAACCCACAAATGGTGAATTCTGATTATTCAACTTGTTAGAGGAAGTAATTTATGTAGGAACACGAAATATCCAATTTTTCGGTATCAGTTTCATACGACGTTTTTGACGAAAAATCGCAGTTTATCGCCGTAGCATTACATAACTCTCTATATTACGTAAACAGTATACAAGGAAATAAAACTTGAACTTAGGAAGGTTTCTTCTTGTGGTGTTTGGTGGTGAACTTTCAAGTAAAGACAGACAATCAATGTGAGGTTTCAAAATTTCTTAATTATTTTGGTTCCTATGAAATGATTATTAATAGTGCTCACAGTGGGCCAAGCGAAAAGTAGAACAAGAAACTAATTAGAAAACGCGTCCAATAACAATCAGAATTATTTGTTTAGAGTTTCATTAAGCTTAGTGGATTTTAGAAAACATTCCAGGCACTCAAATTTCGAGTCAAGTCTCTGCTAATGCGCGTTTTACGGTTCATAACTGATCTCGAATCGCGGATATCCGTAAGTCGAGGAGCGGTACACGACCGCGCAAACAAGAAATCAGGTTCACTGCCCAATCTGCTTGAGAGAAGTTGCTCCTCAGCCAATCGTGTCGCCGTCGCAGAAAGACTTCTTCAGATTCTCAGCCCCGAAGCTTTCCCCGCCTCTGCGTCCGTAATAGTTGCCGGCGACTGCGTTATACAAACCCGCGAAGTCGTTTGGGTTGCTTTGCTGTCCGCCGCGGTCCAGTTCTCGAATTGAAAATGGGAAGCTGATTTGCACTGCGGGGCCACTTTCGCTCGGGCTCCAGACGAGGCAGCTTAAGCTGCCCGTTGCTCGCCAAGATCATGACTTGAGGTGATTTTGTAAAACATGACACGGACTATTTTCTTGTGTGCATTGTTTTTCAGTTTGCTTTGTCGTAATATTCCGTGTTTGCGTTCTGTAATTTATATTCTGCGAATTGAAAATAAATTTTTGACTTCTTTAAACATTGTTCTTGCTTCTGCGTGAAAAAGTTTTTGTTCCTGGGTAAACATCTCTCGGGGAAAGCAAACTCCCGACGATGCAGCTTAAACCGACCGTTGCTCACCATCAAGATCATGACTTGGGGTAAAACACGACACGGACTATTTTCTTGTGTGCATTGGTTTTCAGTTTGTTTTATCTTAATTTTCCGTGTTTGCGTCCTTCAATGTATAACTTGGGAATTGAAAATACATTTTTGACTTCTTTAAAAATTGTTCTTGTTTCCGCGTGAAAAAAGTTTTTTGTTTCTGGGTAAACGGCTCTCGTCGAACGCAGACTCCCGACGTGGCAGCTTAAGCCGACCGTTGCTCACCACGAAAGCTCATGATGACTTGGAGTGATTTAGTAAAACATGACAAGGGCTGTTGTCTTATGTTTTGGATTTCAGTTTGTTTTGTCGAAATTTTTCGTGTTTGGGTTCTTTAATTTATATTCTACGAATTGAAAATACATTTTTTGACTTCTTTAAGCATTGTTCATGCTTCTGCGTGAAAAAAGTTTTTTGTTTCTGGGTAAACGGCTCTCGTCGAAAGCAGACTCCCGACGAGGTAGCTTAAGCATCCACCACGAAAGCTCATGATGACTGGGGGTGATTTACTAAAACATGACACGGACTATTTTCTTGTGTGCATTGGTTTTCAGTTCGTTTTGTCGTGATTTTCCTTGTTTGCTTCCTTTAATTTATATCTTGCGAACTGAAAATATGTTTTTGACTTCTTTAAACATTGTTTTTGCTTCTGCGTGGAAAAAAGTTTTTGATTCTGCGGTAGACGTGACTTCTAGAAGAAATAACTTATAGCTGTAGAGAACACAGTTAACACCTATGTAATTTTCATCTGGCATAAATAAAAACGAAATTAATGTTCAAGCTATCGTTTTGTCTAAAGCTCTAGAGAAGTACATGGCTACATGCCGCGTGTGGTTGATTTTAACTCAAAATTGCAGTGTTGTAGATACCTCAAGAAAGTATATTTTTAGGTTGTGTTCCGTTTACTTCTTGATTTCTCATTCTCCCGCACTTATTAAAGAGAAAGTGAAGTGGAGGACAAATAATTTTGGTTCCTATGAGATCATTATTAGTAGAGCCTAAACTACATAGTGCAAGCTGAAAAAATAGAACATGTAATTTAAAAAGAATTAGCGTATGGAATTATTTATTTAGTGTATAGGTAGTTCCATAAAGTACGTCTACTCCCTAACAACAGTTCTGACACTGAACTCGAATAGGAAACAGTTCTCCACCTTTTCGTGTTCTTATATTGTCCTACGAAGAGATCCAAAAAACCTAAAAATTAGCTAACGAATGCTTTATTGACACGCTTCAAATCTTGGGCCGGTATGGTGTGATTTCAAATACTATCTATATCAATCCTTATTAAAAAGATATACATTTTAGATACACACGTTTTAGATACAAGATATACAAGTCTCTGGTATTCTCTCAGTACTTATAACACAAACGTATGTATTTTATCTCAAAATGAACGTGACTGACGTTTCTTTCAAAAAGAGTTCTGTTATACAATTAGATACCACACTACAAGGATACCATGTTGCAGTCTTTAAAAAAAAGTGCTGACGGTCGTGAACTGAGGAGCTGTTAGGCGAGACAGCTGTGAAGTGGCAAAGCGCTGAGTTGTGTGCACTTGGTGCGTGAGGGGTAACCTTTGTGAACGCGCTCTTTGTGTGGCAGCCCTGTCCGTCTCACCTCGCTTCGAAAAGCGTTCGTTCGTCTCAAAGTCTCAGCTGTTCTCCGTGGAGACCTCTTTCAACTGAGACCACAGTCCTGGAAATTGCCTTTACGATTGAGAGGTAGCTTTTCTCAAGTACAGTATTAGGAAATATAATCCGAGGTATACTATGTGACCAAAAATACCCGGACACCTGGCTGAAAATGACTTATCAATTCGTGACGCCTTCCATCAGTAATGCTGGAACTCAATACGGTGTAGCCTTGATGGCAGCTTCCACTCCGACAGGCATACTTTCAATCAGGTGTTGGAAGATTTCTTGGGGAATGGCAACCCGTTCTTCATGGAGTGCTGCACTGAGGAGAAGTATCGATGTCGGTCGGCGAGGCCTGGCACGAAGTCAGCGTTCTAAAATATCCCAAATGTCTTCGATAGGATTCAATTCAGGACTCTGTGCAGGCCAGTCCATTACAGGCATGTTATTGTCGTGTAACCACTCCACCACATGCAGTATGAAGAGGTGCTATATCGTGTTGAAAGCTGCAATCGCCATCCCCGAATTGCTCTTCAACAGTGGGAAGCAAAGGTGTTTAAAACGCCAACGTAGGACCCTGTCGTGATAGTGCCACACAAAACAACGAAGTTTGCAACCTTCCTCCATGAAAAACACGACCACACCATAACACCATTGTGGACGTGTCCGTATACTTATGATCACATAATTTAATAGGCGGGGGTGGTAACGGTAGCACGGATTACAAAAAAACTCGAAAACACGAAAAAAAATACATATAACGGAATATTCAACTACAATGTTTAACAAAGTCAAATTTAGGATGCAGATACTATAAAAATTACTGATTCATGTATTAATGTACACATGAGCGCGAACCGGTTACAGGAACGTAGAATCGACTGACGCGCACGTGATCTTCGACGCAGTGTTGCTAACCCAAGAGCCAGCTCATGATTATAACCGTCTGTTTGCTTCTTTGGTGACTTGGCGCATATCATGCTATTTATCATCTCGGTTTACACGGAATCTCGGATTGGCGAGGCTGTGTTTACCGCGACTTTACTGTATTCCTAAATAAAGAGCGAAAAGCTTCTGCAAAAAATGTATGTCTTCATGTAGTGAATATGTAAGTGAATATCTTCTGTGAATATTGTCGTACATACATACATTGTGAAATATTCTGAGAAACATCAGAAGTTGATTCTGCTCGTTTTGTAGTAATTATGCAAGTAATATATTATTAGTAGCAAAAGTATTATAGTTGTTTCAAAAAGAATTAGCAGGAGGTTGGAAAATATTGTAAATATTTATTCGCTTTTAACACCTATAATAAAAATCAAAATGTGGCATTGACAATTATGATGCGTCTCTTCAAAATTACATGTCGTCGTCTTCGTAGTTATCCGTTTCCGTTTCCTTGTAGTCATCTATGAGAGAGTTCACGGTTTCTGCACTTTCTTGAAACAAAGATTCTTCCAATCCTTCGTTTATGTAATGATGTACGAAAGCTTTTCTTTCATATAAACACTCAAACTTTGCAAGTAGTCGCTCCCAGACTTGCATAATGGCTGTGCTGTTAACCAACATGCAAACTGCTCGTGGAGTTGGTGCCAAATCTCCTATTGGCACAGTCGTTGGCGGTTGGTAGTTAATTGCAATCTAGAAAATAATATTGATGTTGTTAATTTAACATAGTACACCGTGATTTAAGGTGTTAATGCCAATATTTCAAAAAGTTATAAATTAGTTCGAAAGTTTTTCATCGAAATATAATGAAACAATTTGAGGAGGAAAAGTTTGATTTGAAACGTACTTCCCTGGTGGTCTTATAAAAACAATTTGGTCCTTGAGAAATCATTACGTTACAAATGCTTACGTACGTCACAAATGCTAAAATGGTTTTATAGAGAGGAAACTATTACCTTAAAGCCCGTTGGACACCAGTCCACAAAATTGACAATTTTATGTTTCTTTATCACGTAAATTGCGTAATTAATGTCAGTCGGACACACGTCGCCTCGGAAGAACATGCAACAAGATAAATACTGCCCTTGTTCCATGTCACACATTAAAAAATGATTGCACTCGTCGAAGCATTCTGTTGTAAGTTCGATTACAGACGGAGTTTCGGGCACTGCACATTTGCATTTATGGCCAGGTATAAGAGGGGCATACGAAACACACGGGAAATGAATTCGTGGAAAAGGTAACAGGTTTGTTACAAGTTCCAGAATATCTGAATTCAAAGGTCCTTCAAACCTCATGGATGTTGTAACAGCAGACACCACCTAAAATAAAGGTATGACATTGATAGATGACTTGTGAAAATCAGAAAAACATACTATAATCAAAAGTAGCATACCTTCCAAATGTTTAGGGCTATTAATAGCTATTACCTGAGCTATTAATCTGTTGACATTAGTAAACGTGGGATGCGGAACTTGAAGAATATCCAACATTCGATAAATCGATTGATTGTCGATTAGAACACACATATTTTCATGTGGGAGACTTCCATGTGTTGTTAAGAGAGCGTTATACGGCTCTGTTGTATTCGATGAAATCTACTGAAGGAAATGATTTACATATCAGATAACTGATATCAGTTTGTACACAAAAAAATCATTGATTTAATATACTGTAATTCTCGAACATAATTTAAAAATTCACTAATCCTAGATAAAAAGGAATTTGTCACCTGAGGCGAAGGGCATATTGAGAAGTGTATTTTAAATTCCTTTCCAAATTCATCGGCCAATTGTTCTGAAAATAAATCCATAAAACCAGATCCGGTGCCGCCTCCAAGTCCGCGAAAAATGACTAAACCTTGGAGCAAAGGGCAATCTTCAGCAATGCAGCGTATTCTCTCCACAGCGTCGTCCAGAATTCCAGGCCCTAGATTACAGAACGCACGGCCGTAATTACTTGCAGCGTCTTCTTTTCCGGTCAGAAGCAGTTCCGGAGGAAATAATTCCCGGTACGCTCCATTCCGTATTTCGTCTGAAAGAATTCCAATTTTGTAAAGGCGAAAGAAAAATAGAAAAAAACATAAATTAACAAAAATTAAAATGCACTCAATTGACACAATTCATTTTTTTATTTCTGTGTTATTTTTTCTTTGTAAGCAAATACATTCTTTTCTTTTTCTATATATATATATATATATATATATATATATATATATATATATAGAGAGAGAGAGAGAGAGAGAGAGAGAGAGAGAGAGAGATTGAGGTTGGTCAAAAGGAATAAATTGAATTGAAAAAGAAATCTCTGAGTTAAATATTGAAACTGATTCGAAAATAAATTAAACCTTTTAATTTTCAAAATTTCATAGATTTTAATGAAAATCGAAAATGTAATATATTTTTGAATGCACATTATTCTCAAAAAATAAATCAAAGAAAAAAATACAAATTCTAGAAACTTTTGAACATGTCACAGTGGTGTCATGTGAACTCCCCCACAAAATGAATAAATCTTAATTGTCTTCGGATCGTATACAATAATCTCAACACATGAATTATATCTTTGCAATAATAATAATATTATTATTATTAATAATTATAATAATAATAATAATAATAATAATAATAATAATAATAATAATAATAATAATAATAATAATTTGGTAAAGATGATAAATGTTATTTTTGAGACTTACCGACGACAGATGGTTCTAGATCAATCATGAGTGCACGAGGTGTAATCTTGCCTTCACTATCCAAAGAAAATACAGCATCATAATCATCGTACCATTCATTTTCGTTATATAAATAACCATCGGGACGTATACCGTGTTCCAGACAAAATAACTCCCATAATGCACTTCCAATTTGCACGCCAGGTTGCCCCACATGGATTGCAATAACTTCATGCTATACAAAATAAATTTACTTATTACGTATTTACTACTTACATACTTTCATTTTGACGTATAAGATATTTGTCAAGGAATTGTGAACATTGGCTACTTTATTCACTTACTTTTTTAGGCATTATAGTGACAATGAAAGCGTACATATCGTGCTTGAAAACACCGAAGCATCATATGAATTCATCATGTGAATTGTAGGATTAAGCGACTCCTCAGATGTAGTCGGAGCATTGAACTAGAGAGGAGAGCCATCTTGCCCGTTACGTCGCCTTTACTGCCATGAGTTATTCATTTCATCCCTGAAAACTTACAATTACAATTTGTGAGTAATGTACTCATTATATCTGAGATGTAAGCTTTGTGACGAATCACTGTGATTTCGTACTTTTCTAAAGGCAGCAATCATTATAAATTGTAAGTGCTCGCAACAATATTTTTATGAATGGTCATGACGAACGTTAGATGATAAATAAATTGACATGTGCATGGCACATAATAATTTAAAAAGAATTATCTAGGAACACCAGCCCAATTTTTTCATACTGTTACCATGGAAATGTAGCTCATTGTCTTTTCAAGTGACGCAACGTCATACATTGTTTTTGTGCATTTAAGAATCAGCATGTTTGGCAAATAAAGTATTATTTGCCAAGTTTTGTAATTGTAAAATTTGTTTTGAAAGATACGTCTGAAAAAAGCAGAGACATAGTTTAACACGCATAATTTAATACGCTTTGTTTCATTCCACGTCCATACGTCATGCAATTCAAGTCTTAAACGCTAAAACTAATATTACATTACACTTTTAATAAATTTAGAGAATCCCTGGCATTATCTGTAGTTCAGCTCCTGGATGTATTATTCAGCATAATTATGTAAGTATATCTTTCAAATATTTTTTAGGGTGACATAAGCACTAAACTACACATTATGTTTTAGGCAAATGTAACATTTCGTCTTAGCTACGGATTAAATGTAGAAAATAAAATCTTTGAATTGGAGTCATTGGAATGAACGAAATTTGCTTGCGGGGTAGGATTTCTGAGTGACGAAATTCCTTCGTGAAGCCGGTGATTCATCTGTTGGGCGAACGCCGGCATCCGCCTGCAGAGCATCGGCCGCCCACGCTCCTCCACCGACTGCGCAACGCCCCATTTGCATAGAGACGACGCGGGCGACAGCGCCCGTCACGACACCCGACCACGCCCCCTCGCCCCTCCCCCGCCCCCGCATTTCCGCACCCTTGCGACATTGCGACCCCCTCGCCCAACATCGAGACCATATTCGCAACCCCTCCCGCCCAAATCGGCGACCGACCTTGCAAAGCTCCCTCGCACCCCCTCGCCCCTCGTCGCTCCATATAAACCCCTCGCGACCCCTCGCCACCCAATATCCCCTTGTCAATCCTTGCACCCCCCTCCCGCCCCGCTAACGACCCGTTGACGACCCCTCACGACCCCCTCACGACCCTTCACGACCGCCTCATCGACCCTCTCACTAACCTCTCACAACCCCCTCACGACCCCTCACGACCGCCTCACGACCCCCTCAAGACCCCTCACGACCCCCTCAACGACCCCCTCACTCACGACCCCCTCACGACCCCCTCACGACCCCCGTCACGACCCCTCACGACCGCCTCACGACCCCCTCACGACCCCCATCACGACCCCCTCACGACCCCTCACGACCCTCACGACCGACCCCTCACGACCTGTCTCACGACCCCTTCACGACCGCCTCCAGACCCCCTCACGACCCTCTCGCCGCCCCTCGGCCCTCTGCGGCTCCTCGCACCTTCTCGCGCCCCCTCACGGCCGCACTCGCGACCACAAATTGATTTGTCGATATCAAGGCCCACCCCCCTCAAATAAATTCATGGCTACAGAACGTGTTAAAGGAAGCAATTTACTATATTACGTTACATACACATTTTTTTGTGTCGAACACACCAACTGATGTCATTGCAATGCCTCTGACCGAGTGGTCCTAGGTTCGAGTCACGACGGTGGCAGGATTTTCGACACTGGCTTGTCAGAATTCAGTCTCTGTCTGAAGATATTCTAGAGCCGACTGCATTGATGAGTAGTTTTCCGTGTTTTTTTGCATCAATACAAAGCGAATGCCGAAGCAGTACCCTAACAAATGGGCCATACACAGCACGCGATCTTTCCTTCGTCGTCCTATCCTCGCCCCTTACTTACATACACTTACACTAAAATGCACTATACTACCACACATGGTGGAAGTCCGGTCGGGAACTCAGAACTTAGTCCGTCTGGGGCGGTTCCCCGCTGGTGGGAGATACCTGGTTGAGGAAACCCTCCGTTATCCGACGGTAGGTTGGCAACAGATCTCGCCAACTAGCAGGGGAAAATCAACGCCACCTCCTGATGAAATACGTGGACTACACTTACGGGACTAATATTAGCAGTTGACTCGCCCGGAATCATCTGTCGAACAGCCGCCAAGTCTACCACAGCAGACACTCACCCTGTATTAAATACGTACGTACAAATGCCAGAAAGTAAAAGATTCAAGTCAAACTTGGAAAAAGCACATATGTTGGAGAATACCTGTTGGAAAATGTCCTATGTAGTACTACTATTTTTCAGAAGGAACTAATTCTCTTCTGTTTATTAAAATAGCTGCTTCCAAATACGTCTTCCTTTGTTTGCGTTCAACTTTCTTTTTATGGATTTGCAGAGATGCACTCTGCTATCGTGCGCTGTAGCGTTTCTCGCGTCGGTGGCTGCCTGGCATTCTTTTCAGAAAGACTGCATTGCTCTTCGCAACTAGATGAGCATGGCGTGACAATAAAATGGTGACGGTAGCACACTTCTTTCTTCCTCCTTCTCTTAGGCCAAGGGATGTAATGGTTTCAGAAGGAATGAAGTCTAGCAAGGAGTCATCTAGTCGTTAGGATCTAGGTGGTGGTTTATCAAGAGAAGTCTAGCACTTGGTCGACCGGCATTCGAAGCCGGAACGCTAAGCAGTAAGGCAACTCTTTCGGCGGCCTGTCGCCCCAGATGCAGAGTCCACACTCCGCCCCCACCCCCTTCCAACACTTGCATTCGCGCACCCTGTCGTTGTGGAGCCATTTTGCTTCTTGTTCCTTTTCATTCCTCCGCTCTTGTGTTATTGGAGGACTTTAAACGTATTATTCCTGGTCAGTCGAAAGAAAGCGATCTATGAGCACTCTGAAAACAAAAAAATAAGTTCGAATTGTTTTTTCATTCGATATTTCAACGTTTATGTTTTTAAATGTAATTTGTGTGTTGCATTCAATTAATTTTTGAACAGTAAATATGTGTGGTAAGAAATGAGAATATTTACTGTTTTTCTCTTTTACTGAATGAAAAAAAAAATGCTTAGTGTTACCAAAACTAAGTGGCTTTTAGGTGTTCTTGAATTGTGTACTCTCAAAATTTCCACGATGAAATTCAAATGAAATAACAATATTTTTATTGTTAGGCCTAGATAAACGACTAGTATTACATAGTGTGGTTTTGAAACTTCTCTAAGCACAATTCTAATTGCAGTTGGAGTAAGTAAATTGTAGAAGTAATTAAGTAAGTCGACGTAGTAAGTTGACGAAGGTGAATTCAATTATTTCACCACATAATTGTAAGCCAGGATATATTTTATATGAAACCGCAGCGTAATGGGGAAAGTAGTAAGAGCTCAGGGGGTGGGACCACACCCCAAGGGAAACCGACTAATGCGACTCAGAGCATGAATTAATGTCATCACAGGGCCTCTGACCACCAAATTCTAGGATTCGTGTCCCGACGGTAGCAGGATGTTTCACACTATTCAGCCACTGGGGGAGAATACCACTGGCTGCTCTGATAGGTAGTTTTCCGTGGTTTCTCCTATCCACACCAGGGGAATGCCGGAGCAGTACCTTAACAAACGGGCCACGGACCGCCCGCAATCATTAATTTTCTCTTCGTCGTCCTATCCTCACCCCTTACTTACAGTTACATGCACCACGCTTACCACACATGCCGGGAGACCTGCCGGAAGCTTAGAGCTTGTCCCGGCTGGGGCGGTCTCCGGCTGATGGGAGATAATGTGGTTGGGGACTAACCCGCTAACCGACGGGGAGGTTGATCCCGGATCTCGCGATCCAGAAGGGGAAGCTCACTACCATATCTGGCGATAAAGCATGTACAATGCTTACGGGAGTAATGATCTTAACAGTTAACGCGCCCCTAAACACAAATCAATCAATGAATCAATCAATAAATAAATAAAACAATCAATAAATCAACCAATAAATCAATATGTAAACCAATCGGTAAATCAATCAATCAATCAGTCAATAAATAAATAAATAAACAAATCAAAAAACCCGAAACACAAATCAATCAATGAATCAATAAATAAATAAAACAATCAATAACCAACCAATAAATCAATCTGTAAACCAATCGGTAAATCAATCAATAAATCAGTCAATCAATCAATCAAAATCCCTAAAGGGAAGGCTGGGTACGGCAGTGCAGGGAGGTCGCGCCGCCAGCGCCTGCTTCACTAGCGGCCGATAACGGCGCCGCTGCAGCCGCTTTCGCGTCTGCACTTCGCTAACGGGGCTTCCGACCTTGGGAGCTCCCCCTCCCCCCTCCCCTTCCCCCACCCCCTCCGCACTCGCAGTGATCGCCGGCGGGCGGAGGCTGCGCGGCCTGGCTCCGGGAGGGGATTTGGCAACGGCGTCTTGAGATAACCTTTCGCTAAGTACTACGAGAGTTAGCTGTACCTGTCGTTTGTCAGGGAGGATGGGAATATGATTGTTTGCAGCGTAGTTTATCTCTCGAACGGCACCGCTTTCGAAAAACTCAATCGCTGTAATTTAAAGATCCATTTTTAATCGACTTCGTTGTTGTACAATTTTGGTTCAACCTCAACATTGCCAAATACGAGTATGTAGCCTCAAGGGGAAATTTCTCGTTCTTTTGGTCATTTAAAGACATTTTGATGATGGATTGCAAACATATCAAAGAATAAATAATGGAGTGTTGCAACTTCACCCGTGCAAACAACGCCCACGTCTAAACCGTATGCGTTTTTTTCACAAAATTTATTGGAAATTCTTTCATAGATCTGACGTAACTTGAAG